TTACTATTTGTACTACTTTAAACAATAAGTACAAATTGGTAGTTACAAGGTAGTCATGGGGATGTAAAGTATAGCATAGGGAATATAGTCAATAATATTGTAGTAATTATATACGGTATCAAATGGTGCAAGATTTATTGGATGACCACTTAGTAAGTTGTCTAATCACTAGGTTGTACCCCTGAAACTAATACAATATTTTATGTCAACTGTAACTGAAAAATAAAAAAAAATTATTTAAAGTAAAAAACAAAACAAAACAAAACAAAAACAAAAGAAAACTCCTACTAATCTAAGAAAAAACTGACCAGTAAATGCTTGACAAACTATAAAAGCCTGGGTTAGAAATATCATATAAATACATTTAATATATAAAGGAGGATATCAACAGCAAACAAAAACAGGTAGTGAAACATACACATTAACTTAGTAATTAAGGAAAATAACTACTTACACATCTTATAAATAATAACTATCCTATATAACTAAAGCCTAATATGCTAAGTGTCCAGTCAGCTGATTGGCCATTCAACCAATCAAAGCATAATATGCTAATGATATACTAAGTCTGTTCAATGCTTCCTATGATGTGCACTGACCACCAGGAGGCAGGCGATCCAACCAGTAGGTTAGCTTGCTGCTGGGGTCCGGCAGATCTGGACTGAGTGAGACGGGCCCAGAAATGCCCAGGAGCCTTCCCAGGGTCCCTCCATGGCTGGCCAACCTCCCGCATCTCTCCCTGGCCCGGATTGTGCACTGATGGGGGTCCCTCAGCCAGGCCTGGGCCCTCTCACAAGGCGGGACCCCACGACCACCAACCAATCAGAGAGAGTATGCAAATTAACCCCAACCAAGATGGCTGCAGCCACAGGAAATTGTTGAGCAACAGAAGCCAAGCTTTCCACCTGTCCTAGTCTGCCTAGGCCTCCACTCAAGGCTACAAAGTTTCAATTATAGAAGATACATAAAACCAAACAGAAATGGCAGCAGCCCCAAGTAAGCAGGGGCTTGGCTCAGCTCTAGGCTACAAAGTTTCAATTGTAGAAGATAAATAAATTCCAGACACCAGGGCCTCCACTTGGGTCACCAGGGGGCGTGGCCAGCCTGCAAACCACCACAGGCCCCTCGCCCAGGCCGCCCCATGACCCAAGGAAACTCCCGCCCTGATCCAGGACACCTTCCAGGGCAAACCAGCCGGCCCCCACCCGTGCACCAGGCCTCTATCCTATCTAATAAAAGAGTAATATGCAGATTGACCATCTCTCCAACACACAAGCTGGCAGCCCCCATGTGGTCAAAGATCCTGCCCCCATGTGGACACAAGATGGCCACCACAAGATGGCCAGCAGGGGAGGGCAGTTGAGAGGAACCAGGCCTGCAGGGGAGGGCAGTTGGAGGTGATCAACCCTGCAGGGGAGGGCAGTTAGGGGTGACCAGGCCAGGAGAGGAGGGAAGTTGGGGGCAAACAGGCTGGCAGGGGAGCAGTTAGACATCAATCAGGCTGGCATGGGAGTGGTTAGGGAGTGATCAGACTGGCAGGCAGAAGCAGTTAGGGGCAATGAGGAAGGCAGGCAGGTGAACAGTTGGGAGCCAGCAGTCCTGGACTGTGAGAGGGATGTCTGGCTGCCCGTTTAGATTGTGAGAGGGGTGTTCACCTTAGATAGGCAAATAAGTTTAGCTCAACAAGCATGTACTGAGAAATAACTCTGCTATAAATTGCTAAGCCTTTAGTACACAAACATGATACATATAAATGTCCATAGTTAATGGGGAGACAAATTTGTAATCAAATAAATTTCAGTATCAATGTGATAAGTACAATAATGAAAGTATATACGAGTTGTAGAAGTAGTTTAGCAGAAAAGATAAAATCTTTATGAGAAGGAATATGAAGAAAGACTTCCCAGAGACTTCTGAGGTGGAGTTTGAAGGAGGAATAGGAGTTTCCAAAAGGCAAGGATATAAATTTAAAAACATGCAAGCAAAAAAAAAAAAAAAAAAAGTAAACCTTTGAAGTAAAAACAGTTTCAGGAGTAGAAAGCACCAGATGGTTTATGGTAGAAAATGAGGCTGGACATTTAGGCAAAGGCTAAATCATGAGTAGAGCCTTCGTCGCCATTCTAAGGAACTTGGACTTACCCAATAGCTGATAGGGAGCCAGAGAAGGCAAATAACATTTACTTTTTTGTTCTCTGCATTGGAAAAAATTTGTACCACCACAAATTGAACAAAAATCTTTTGAGCACATTTAATGTCTCAGACATTATGCTGGACACTAGAGTGTCTATAATAGAATTGTACTTTTAAAAAAAAATCTTCACCCAAAGAAATGTTTTTATTGATTTTAAAGAGAGAGGAGAGAGTAAGAGAAAGTAACATTGATGTGAGAGAGAAAACCATTGATTGGTTGCCTCTTGCACTTGCCCCAACCAGGGCAACCTGGGTGTGTCCTGACCAGGAATCAAACCCACAACTTTCAGTGTACCTGACCATACTCCAACCAACTTAGACACACTGGCTACAGCTGTAAGTTGTGCTTTTAAATCTCTTCACAAAGGATTTTTTTATTGATAAGGTAGATAGCCTACATTTCAACTACTGTTTCTATCCTCTCAATAGCAAAAATGTGGAGGATAGTGTTTCTAACTCTTGCAAATGCCAAGATCAACAAACACTTTGAACCACTTCTGCTGAGCAGGAGATTTTCAGCAACTCACTTTATAAACTGTAGTCTTCTACAAAAGGCAAATTATTTCCTTTCTAAAATTTACAGCTTTCATTATATTTTTGCTATATATTATTATCTATATTATTATATTCAATGAAATCCACACCTTTTCAGTCTACAAACTCTTGTTTAAAATAAATAGAAGAAAAAAAAATCCCCCTCTCCCCCCAAACTGGAGATAACAGGCATCAGGAAGAAGTCAGTGGTCCCTAGAAAGAGTTAAATTCCAAGTATTATCTATGCTAAGTATTATTAATGCTAAGATATAAGTGGAAGCACAGAATTACTTTGTGCATCTGTTAGCAAGATATGTCCTAAGGTATCAGAAAGCCTAAGAGAGCTAGTAAGGGTGTTATGCTTAAAACTGGAGGTACTTAAGCATGTGTGGTATGATTTGATAGATTATTTTGGGGATCTGGGAGTGCTCAAAAATATTTCCATATAAGTTAATGGTAATTGCATCTTGGCTTTGCACTATTCCGTCTTATGAAAGGTTTGATAAGAAAGTACCACTGTTGGATATTGGGGAAACCTGTATATAAATCAAATGTCTGTCAATTAATTCTGTATTAGGAGTTCAAGGAAACAACTAAAATTTGAAATTTCAAGAAGAGTTATGGCACATAAAGAAATAAGCAGTACCTGGTTTATTAAAGATTGTATTCTTGTATTATACAAAACATGTTTCAAATGTGTTTCATAACAGTATCCTAAATATTTGGGGGGAAACACGCACACACAAAAAGCCCCCACAAACCATCTTCATATCTAGATTAAAATGAATGACCTGTACTTGTTGTTAATTTATTATATAATAAAAACTTCTAATTGACCCATTACAATTATTCTGTTCTTAACAAGAGAGCCACGGGCAAAGAAAATATGCTAACATCCTGAAGAACCATGCCTTTCCGTTAGATAGGGGGACGAGTGGCTTGAATGAGAAGGTTGCTCAATATGGGATTATATATTGTGAAATCTTTTTCTGGATATCTCTAGATGTAGGCTGGATTGTAAATTGTATAGCTTGCTGTGAACAAGGGAACAGAAAAGATTTCTCAAGACCCTGTCAAGCCTGGCAATCTTTAGAAATGAAAGACTAATTAAGAGGCTCCCTAGGGACAGGTCAAAGGAATTTTTTTTATCCCTACTGCCCTTATCCCAGTTCCTTGATGCCTTATTCTTCCCCTTTCATTCAGCCTACTTTAAAATAAGAATAAGCATTGTGCAAGTTTCACCTTTGCTTCCTATACTGTAATTCATAGACTAATAGAATTAAGAATTTAAAATTCTTCCTCCATTATCTTTAAACTGCTATTTTTAAGTGCTTTAGAATAGAGCTTAACACTAAAAATTATTCTAAAACTTGTGTGTGTTTTTTTTCCCAATTGGACACCATTTAAAAATATTAGACTTTGATTATGAGATTACAAAATCCTTCAAATATCTTTTCACAAAACTATCTGATAAATAAGTCAAATTTCAATTCGGATTCATATCTTCCTTTTAATTTCCAAGATTGTGCTGCACTGCAATACTTGCGTTAAATTCTTGTTCGAATTATACTGACAGTGTTTCATTTCTTTTAAACAGTTTTAGGGTGAACGTCCCTACTGCATCCTCAGGGAATAGCAACTGATCCACGTTTTAAGACTTGACGTATTTCGCATCCCATTCCCTTGATTGTAAATGAGGCATACTAGAGCATTTTGTTGTTTCTATCCTCCCGTCCCTCGAATGAAAAATTAGTGACGTTAATTTGCGTACATTTTAAACAACCACGTGGAGCTGAAAACGTTCTGTCCCATGAGGGCAATTCCACTTTCCAAGGTTTAGAAATATGGGTGGGCACCTGCACACCTGAGCAGCGATCTTTCCCCCAGACCACCCCACAGTGACAGGTTAAAATTTCAGCTTTTAATTTGGGACCAAACATGAACCATTTCATCAGGAGTTTCCTCTTATCAGCACTCCTAAGCAACCTCTGGGCCCTCTAGGGGGTCAGGAGGCCTCCCCACGCCGACCCTAAGCCGACCACACCTGCGGTCACCGCCGCAACAGCCAGCCCCGCGCAGGCGGGCAATCACCCACTCCCAGCAGGCGGCCCCTGATTGGTGCACGCGCCTGTCAGTCACAGACAAAGCCTCGGCCTCCGCGGTCCCGCTCTTCCCAAGGCGCGGCGTGTTTACGTCATCGCCAGGCGACGAAGGCAGCGGAGAGGAGGGGTGGGTCGTGAGCGCTCTTCAGCGGTTTGGGGGGCCTGCGCGGTGTCATGGCCGCTGACGCCGAGCACGGACGCCCGTGCGTGGGTGACAGGAGCCTGGAGCAGAGCCGCAGCCCCAGCCTCTCCCAGGAGGTGCTCTGCGAAGTCTTCCGCTCCCTGCACACCCTGGCCGGGCAAGTGAGTGACGGCCTGGCGGAGCCGGGGCTCGGAAACGGCCGGCCCCGCCTTTCGCTCCTGGCGGAGGCGGCGGGGAGGGGCGCGGGGCGGTGAATTGGGGGGCCCGGCGGCCTGCGGGGACCCGGCGGAGGAGGGGAGGCGGGGGCGGCGCCCGCGGCCGGAGCGAGTGGCGGCGGGGCGGAGCGCGGGGCCCGGGGGCTGCACCTCCTGCAGCCCTTCTCCCCGGAGGGCGTGGGGTTGTCACCCGGCTCTGAGCGACGCCGGCTGGAACGCCGGGCGCCTCCGCTCAGGATGCCTTCTCCTCCGGCGGGCTCTCAGGTTCGATCGGCCTGAGGTTTCTGCAAGAGCTCTCCGTCCGCCTTTTTGTATCGTTTGCTCTGAGCCGCTGACATTGTTTCTTTTTTCCTTGGGTCCACTCCTTGTGGGCACCAATGTCCCTTTCAAAGGGGGAGGAAAAGTAAAAGGAATTCATATGAAATACTTCTAACAAAAAGTTGTATTAGTTAGTTATGGTGGATACTGTTGGCCACAGGGCCGTTTAATAACTAGTTTAGTTGACTGTTAAGTAGCTCTTGCAGGAACGTCTTATTTAATCAAGTTGTGTTTAAATAAAAGTACTCCTTAGGCTCTTCCAGCAAGTCACTATTTCGTTTCATGATGTAAAGTGCAAAGCAAATTTTAAATGAGAAATAACTTGGAAATAAGGTTGGCTGTTTTTAAAAAAGGAGTATCTTCCGGCTATGAAAGTGTGTTATGGGGCTGGTGCTAGAGCCTGCGGTAGGCACAACAGGCTTTTGTGTTAAAGATAATGTTAACGCACGTTATGAAGACAGAGCGGTTGTCTGATTTGTGAAAATTATTTTTTTAAAGCCTTGGGTGGATGGAGAATCGATTTTAAAAAAAATTACTTAAGTATTTTAAAAGGCCTAATACGTTTATCGTGATTTACAGAGAGCATTGCTCTAAGTTAAACATTCAGTTTGGTGTAATGGAACAATTATTAATAGAATGTACTAAAAGCTGTAACTTTTAAACTCAGTTGTTTGCTATGGATTTATAAAAAATATTTCAAATACTTGGGGACATTAATATTTCAGTCTTAAGACCCAAAGCCTGTAAATGGTTTTAAAAGTTTGAGAACTTTTTCTGGCGTGGACATGGAACTTTTAAGTTTTGTGGGGGTTTTGTTTGTTTTGATGAAGAGATTTTTTTTAAACGACGTAATTAATTTTAACATGTCTTTTAAAATATTTGGCATACTGAATTTTTAAAACTTATTTAACCATCCAGGTATTCTGTAAATACAAGTAGAGATGTGATTACAATACTTTTCAGAAATGTTGAGAGTAAATATTTGGCAAATTTACTTGACACAGTGTATATAGTCCATTTATACAAGTGTTAAAAATATGATAGTATCAATTAAATGCTAACCATTTTGATAATACTCTTTAAATTTTGACATGGATTGCTTAAAGATAAGAATGGAAGCCAGTGTATTATACTTATAAAATTGCCCCCAGAGAAAATCACTATTTCTTTTTGCAACAACTTTAAAGTTATTTTTAAATGTAATAATATGTCTAAGTTCATTCTGTATAGCATTATTGTATTATTAGCACGCAAAAGGAAACAAAGTTGAATGTTAAAAAGTATTTTCTATTTCAGATTTCAAATTATAACTGTTGATTGCCTCAGGATAGCCCATTTTACCAAGCTGAAGAATCATTTATTTTTAACTTGGATTTTCATGTTAATTTGACAAAGTTTTTAATGAAAATACATATTTAAATAGTTCATATTAATAGACTAATACTTTTTTGACAAATTTTATAGGGTAGAAATGCAAAAAATTTATATTACTAATAGGGAATTTGTTGAATAAATAATTGGATGTATTGGGATAGTTTTCAAGTTAATTTGTGACGTTTTTATATGGTCTTTTTAAATTATACTTCTTCAAGTACACTTGAAGGCTTAGATAATTTTGCTGAATTGAAATGAGAATATGATCCAAAAATTATGATTTCTGTAAGTTATTATTTTCTCTAGAAAAGTTGATGCTTTGCTTTGGTTAAGGATTGCTTGCTTTATCTCCAAACTATTCATAAATTTGTATTGTTGACTGTATGTAAAACTGTAGTAATAGTTTATTTCCATGCATAGTGTGGTCTAACAAAGTCTTTGTATGCATTAAGTAACACAAGATGAATGTGATAATCTTAATGTAAAACCTTAGTTAATTAATATAAACTATGGTAGTTCGCTTTTATTCATTCGAAAGACTAGGGATGGAGGCTTTTCCTCTAAAATTTTTGCTGATTTTAATATTAATTTTATATTTAGGTTCTTGGTAGCTTTCCATATACAACTTTATTCATATGGGTCACACTTAGCTAACTTATAAGAAATTGTCATATAACGAACCGTCACAGTTTACTAGAAAAGACTGTTTAGCAGAAGATCTGGTCATTCCATCCATTCTCTGACCATTTATTTCACTATTGTAGAAAGGCATTTATTTTTCAATTTCAAATTTGTACAGCTGAATAATAGTTTAATTTTATTTGAAGTAGATAAACATGTTGTCATTTATCCCCAGATTTCTTAATATATGTGAATAACTTTTATTTAAAATTTTAAGAAATTTATTGAAAACAATAAAAATATGTTTCAGAAGACATCAGAGTAATGATATATTTCAGTTATGTACTTGTGTATATATTTCAGAGGAAATGTGTATATGAGAACTTTCATTAATGTGCCTGCCCCCTCTGGTTAATGCTTTGAGCCAGGAGTAGTAGGATTCTGAAAATAGGGCAAGCCTATTTTGGCTTCTCATCAATAGATTTTTAGATACTGGAGTATCAGAAGAGCCTCTTCTTTTTATCTTTCCTGGATGGTATCACCTGCAAGATGAGACCCATTACACAGACCCAAGAATAGAATTAGAATGAAATGTCATTCCACTTTTTAATGAAAATTGCACTTTGGCCTTTTAAAAATTATAACTAGATAGAGCATTTTAATGTATCATTAGAAACTTGATAACTTTGAGCTAAATAGGCATGTTACTCTATAGAAATATTTTTTATGTGTGGCAATCCCATATATGTACAGTTTAATTGTGTGATTTTTGTGATGCTGCTGGTGTGCCCTTTTGAAGCTTAATCTCCAAGAAGATGTGGTGAAAATTGCAATCGATTGGAACAAGCTCCAGAGCCTCTCGGCATTCCAGCCTGCTTTGCTGTTCAGTGCTCTTGAGCAACACGTTTTGTATTTACAGGTAAATTCTTGTTTAAAATGATAACTCGATATAGGTATAATTGTAGTTAAACTATAAGTTGGAGTATTTGTCAGTTCTATCCTAACACTGTATTAATGGTATTATTAATAAAAGATTACTTCATCCAGCCTGGATCCACGTCTGTCAATTTACATGGTGATAAGGACAGTTACGGGAATATAGCCCAATAGGCCATGTGGGTATGAAGATTGAATGAATGCAATTCTATTCAATGTAGACTTGCTCTGAAAATTCAATGCAGTTGCATCTATGGTGGGTTATAATTAAGCAATAAGACACGGCAGGTGTGTGTCATGCTATGATAATGATTCCATGCCTTGGGTGAGTTTGGAGGCTCATGGAGTGCTTTCAGTGGTTCAAGAAGTGGCATTATCCCAGCATGACACATCCTGGAGTGTCTATTGCAATTAAACAGTTTCAGCATAGTTTTTAAAAAGAAAGTAATTTCTATGGCATTAATGTCTCATCCAGTCATTATTTTCTCTCTTCTTTTTCTTAACAGTTTGAAATAATTCATACTTTGTATTAGACGTCAACATTGAATTGTTATTTATAATAGTATTGCTATGTTATATAGTATATCAGTTCAGTAACTGACCAGTATTATGATCTTGCTGGTTTCCAATTGAACATGTCTGCTATTATAATTGATGTAAGTTTGCAATTTATCTCTAATCAAAATATAAAATATGAAGTGTTAAAAAGGTAACTAGAAGAACTGTTTGAATTGGTCAGTTTGCTGCTAAGATTTTCAGAAGAGTATTCGGTATATCAATGGAATCAAAATTGTAGATACGAAAAAATAATTGAAATATTGGCAAGTGTTGGTGTGTTTTGATTAATGGGATAGACGTTAATTTTCAGCCCTCTGTTCAGTGACTTGATGGAAAATTTTGACTGTTTTATGTTAAAAGTAATATTAATAGTTAACCCTAGTTTTAAAGAGCAGCAGCAATGAGCTGTAGAATTCAGTCGAGGCCTAATTGTGGTGGGAACATGAGCAGTGTTATACAAGGACATTCCCTGCCCCCTCTAGTATAGAGACAGGCATCTATCTCTTTTCAGCTATGAATCTTGGTAGGTTTTTTTCTTTGTTCATTTTCTTTGTAAAAATTTGATTTCATGACCCACGAAGATATCTTGCTCTGTCAGGAAGAGCCTGGGTGCTCACTCAGCATAACACCTATGTATTTCATGTCTGTGCGCCCATTCACTTTGGCCAACTGCAGTTTCAAGTGGAGAATCTCCAGTGATATAGTGATAATGCAGGGCTTTGCTGAGTGAGAGCACTGGCTCTCGTGTTAAGGAGGAAAAATACTAAGCCTAGTGTTCTGAGGAGGCATTTGAATGACATGTTAATTAAGTGGCATTGGTGCCAAAGGCTGAGGCTTTGATTTGGCACAAAATAAAAGATGAGTGACAGAGTGATTCCCTCAAAGAAAAATTTAAATTTCCTCAGGTTTTCTTTCTCTCTCATTTTAAAAAAACAGATTTATAATAAATGATAATGGTCATAATAGTAGAGAACAGCAAATATGGTCAGATCTATGTATTCTGATATGCCAACTTTTTATATTTACCTAATTGATATTAAATATTGCATCTTCGTAGCAGAAATTTATATAAATATATTAAAGGTATAATTAGTTTTGATCAGTTTGAACCCCAGCAGATGGCATTGTGTTCTTCTCAGCCTTTTTTAGCAAAACTTCAGCCTCTGATTAAAGAGGAGAATACAACTGTTGTTGAAGAGATAGGAAAAGCAGAAACAAGGCACAAGAATGAAGTAGATGGCAAATTTCCCATTGGGGACCTACAGGAGGAAGAAAAGCACAAAGATTGTGATCTAGGAGATGTGAAAAAGACACAGGCCCATTTTGATCCAGAAGTAGTTCAAATAAAGGCTGGGAAAGCAGAAGTAAGAAGTTTTTTTTGTTTGTTTGTTTGTTTTTTGGGGGAGAGTATTATTTTTAAAATATTGTTATATTTGAATTGTTTAACATGCATACTTATTGTTTGTAGATTGACAGACGAATATCTGCATTTATTGAAAGAAAGCAAGCTGAAATCAATGAAAACAACGTCAGGGAATTTTGCAATGTTATTGATTGTAATCAAGGTAACCACCTAGAGGAATAATTCTCATAGGAATTTAAGAACAGTTTTTACAGTTGCTCTGATCTTTCATTTGTTTTTAAAAATGAATAACATTTCGAGTGCAATTTATTTCAGCAGTTTATTTAGAAACTAAGGCAGCAGAATGTCCTTCTGTATAATAATAATAGACTATATTGCAAAATGGTTTCATTACACAGAAGTCAAATAAATGCTAACGTAATAAAAGGCTAATGTTTACTACAGGTGAAATGTTTTAGGAAATGAAGATGAAGTGTGGGTAACAGGGTTGCTTGCTCTCACTAGTAAGAAGGAACTAAGCTGTATAAATTTCATGCCTGTAAATGTGCTTATGAAATTATGATGTGAACTTATATTAAGTGAACTTAGTAAAGTTAATAGTCCTCAAGAGGGAGCAGTTTTCTCACTATTTCTGAGCTGTTAGAAATGTTTTGTATCATGATAAAACCAAGTTGTCCTTTACTTTCATAGTGCATATATAAATTTGCTATTTTCATCAGATTCTCCTTTTCATCCCCATTTGATGCTATAATGTATTTACAGGTCTGTAGGTATGCTGCAGAATATAAAATACTGTAAAGCTCTGGCATAGATCACTCAGGTATCACAGTGATAATCAGACAAGTAGTCTTATAAAAATTATGGAGAAGAGTTCCTAATTGGAATGAGCATTTTTCTTGTTGCCTCTAATATGGTGACTAATTATTATGAATATAGAATTGTCAGATGAACCTAGAATTGACTTTTATCACGTTGGTACACTGCTTCTCTTAATGAAATAATGCAGTCTCAAATTGGGTCCTAAATTCAGCATTTTCTATTAACACTGTATGTTCATATCTCTAGGTTTGGTATATTTTCTTATAGTTTCTCAAAAACGGGTGCAACAGTTGCAAAATCTCAGGTACTGCAATTCAACTGCAAGCAACCCATAAGAAAGGGTTTGTTGAGGGAGCAAGGACATGTGTCACTAATGTTATTCCTCTCTTTTCCTTGCTAACTCTATTATTATAAACCACCAGGGGATAGAAATTGACAAGAATTGAAATGCTCAGCAGGATTCCTTGGCCCATTCAATTCATTGCTGGCTCAAAATAGTGCTAGCAAGAATTGCTGTGGAGAGTGACTAGCACTATCTTCACACCAGGCTGAATTTCTGTCTGATGGGTCATTTAATCTATATATTTAGAATATAGCTCCAAAATGGATGATAGCTTTTTTTTTTTTTTAACCCTTAACCCCATAAAATGGTAGGAAGGGAATAGAGAAGTGTTGGCCCTTTAAAACATATATTGAGGTGTCTCAAAATAAAAACAAAAAAGAAAGATAAACTATTTAGTACCTATATATAAAAGGTAAATGACTTTGGCATTTTATTCGTAGAGTTTGATTTGTCAGCAGAACTATTAAGAAAACTTAGACTGAAAAAATACAAATGTATTATAGTGTGTTAGTGTGTTCCTTTTTATACTTCTCAATTTGACTTAATTATATAAATAGTGATTATTTTTAGAAAAATCAAATTCCATGGTGAAAAAGAATTTTCTTTCACTATCTCTTTGACCATTTAATTATAAAATAAGGCAATTTTTTTTTTTCAGGGAATGTACTGCAGTGGATGGATTTACTTCATGTAATTTAAAACATTTTAAATTTTTGAAATGTTTATATATTATGCTAACATCTTTCCAGTAGTTTCCCTTGTTTTTAATTTTATTTCTTGATATCTAATTTGAAAGAATAAATTTTGACAAGTTATATTTTCTAAAATTGTACTTTTTTGAAAGGGGCAGTCTGGAAAGAGGTAGATAGATGGATTTTGTGATAGGGGTTTTTTAAATGAACATTGGAAATCTAGGTAAAGTGGAAAAGTATGCATTAAGGTTTCGAGGTCTTTTTTGTGTGGAATTATGAAATAAAAATGTTTAAATGTATAATTAATCCTTTTTGTTAGGTGTTCACTGATTTAATCTGTAAGTAACATAAAAAAATACTGAATCTTTAAAAAACATTTCAGTAAAAATAATGAGTTCTACTTATTTTTATATTGAAATAAAGTGAATAATGCCTCTTTGACTTAGAATTAAAATATTCTTTAGACTATATAAATTTTTTCCTTTAAGGGCTCAGATGGTTTTTTAGGGATATTGGCATTCATTAAAAATATTATGCTACTGAATGTTGAGGACTTTTCTATGTATATAAATCTGAAAATGGGATAAGATTAGATATAAATTTTAGAGGGCAAAGATCACTAAATGTTATACTGTATTTTATAGTAAATTGATTACTATTACTTAAAATTATATTTCTTATTATGAATAATAAGTTAATTAATATGAATTATTTGAAGTTTGTCAAAGTCTCCTACATTTAAAGTTAAGAGTATACTTATACTCATTTATATTCTCCTTAGAAAATAGTTGTGCAAGAACTGATGCCGTTTTTACCCCTTACCCTGGATTTAAAAGTCATGTAAAAGGTAAGTATCCTTATGTCTTTTCTAGATGTCTTTATCACTGAAAGGGGCTTATAGAATAAAAATCACTTTCCTATCTAAATTTTATTTTTAAAGCAACACAAAAAATCCTGCCTTTTTTCATACTTGGGTTTGTGATTAGATGGTCTTTATGAAAAAAAATATATTTATAAAGTACTGTCAGGAAGAAAGAATTTCTGATTTTTGAAATGGAATTGTAATAGGCTCAAAAGTTTCTTAACTTAGTTTCTAGAGTTGTGAATACATATGGACCACAGACTCGACCTGAAGGAATTCAAGGGTCAGGTCATAAACCAAGCAGCATGCTCCGAGATTGTGGTAATCAGGCTGTAGAAGAACGGCTACAAAATATTGAAGCTCATTTGCGATTGCAGGCAGGTAAGCAGAGTGCTGGGCAGTGCCCCATAACGTACCTTTGCAAGTGGCTAACGGAATTCCAGTTCATTTAAGTTACCAATTTTCACTGGGCACCCGACTGGACAAAACGTTGTTCTGGACCTTGCTGGTGTGGCTCATTTGGATGAGCGTCATCCTGTACGATTCCTGGTCAAAACACATGCCCAGGTTTCCAGTTTGATTCCCAATTGGGGTGCATGCAGGAGGCAAGTGATCTATATTGATGGTTTTCCTCTTTATCTGAAATCAGTAAAAACATTTAACACCACCAAATCATTCTTCTGGTTAGTGCAAAAATGAAAAAAAAACACACAAAACATTTCCTGATTTCAAGGAATTTATATAGTTAATGTGTTTTTGCTCTTCTCCCCCTTCCACTTCTCACCAATTTGAGAGTGTTTGTAGAATGAGAACAGGCTCCAAATATACCCTGACATTCTTAGTTTATTAAAATCAGAGATGAAAACTAATGTAGTCTTTTTTCTTGCTCCCAAATTCATAACTTCACTGTGACCACTACTTATTCTTATCACCTACTGTGCTAGGTACAGAGTATTGATAAGTATAATTATAGTCCTCAAGGAACTTCCAGTGAGGATAAGCATATCTATCTATCTATCTATCTATCTATCGATGGATGAATGAATGGATAGATAGATAGATAGATAGATAGATATAAAAGGCTAATATTCTAAGTGTCCCTCCAACCATCCAACCAGTCACTTTGATGCTCACTGACCACCAGGAGGCAGACACTCAGTGCAGGAGCTGCCATGACATGCACTGTTCATTTACAAAGAAAAGGCACCATGGACCTGGCACCAACAAAGCAACACTCAGCTCCCCCAAGTAGGTCATAGGTCCCACCACCACCCCAGAATGATAGCCCACCAGATTCCAGCCAAGGCTGCTGAGACCCGATGGTGCAAAATGCAGCCCATAGCCCAGCCCAACTATGGGGACCAGGTAATGACATCGCATAGCAACACCCGGTTTCCTCTCCCTAGCAACCAGCCTCCTTGGAGTTTCTTCAGCCCAAGAACACAATTTGCTTTCTAGCCAGTTAGAAACATTTTACACTTTTTTATTTTATTTTTTATTTTATTGATTTTGTACAGAGAGGAAGGGAGAGAGAGAGAGTGTCAGAAACATCAATGAGAGAGAATCATTGATCGGCTGCCTCTTGCACACCCCCTATTGGGGATATGCCTGCAACCAAAGTACATGACCTTGACGGGAATTGAACCCGGGACCTTTCAGTCCCCAAGCCGACGCTCTATCCATTGAGCCAAACCGGTTTCAGCAGAAACATTTTACACTTTAACCAAATGTCTGTGAAGCATTTTTCCATGCCTCATCTTATTTGATTCTCACACAAGTCCTGGAATAGGTAGGTAGGAGATTCGATAGAATCCTATTTTCTTAGCTGGACAATGGAGATTTAGAAAGTTTAGAAACTTGACCCGAATGAAAAGAAGAAATGGTGAACCTTGAAAATGACTTAAGATTTTCTCAACTGCACAGCATATAGTCAAACACTGCTGCAGTTAAATATTTTACCCTTTGTTCTCCCTGTCTGATCTACAATAATAATCTGTTGTATTGATATTTACTGCTGTGTTGCTGACAATTACCTGAAAGAAAAGTTGGGTTGCTTCACTGGAATGGTAAAAGTTTAGCAAAATCAGAAAGCAGGTCTAATTAAGCAAGTTTATTCTATATCTATAAAAGGCTAAGTTGACTCACATGCATGATACTTATAAAGCTCTCACTGGCGCTAATCACACACGTGTTTCATTCTGTCATTGTCAATCGTGAGTTTGGTTGACACTTTTATTATTAAGAAAGGTCGAATAACAATATTAAAATATTCTAATTAATTTCTTTTCAATGTGCACGAATGCGTGCACCGAGCCACTAGTAAATAAATAAATGCCATTGAGAAAGTGAACTAACATTTAATGATTAATACTAAGTGCTAGTCACTCTAAAAATATGCATATGTTAACTCAATATTTAACAGTACTCTTGTGAGGTGTTGGTGCTGTTGTTGTTGTTAGATAAAAACTGAAGTTCTGTGAGTTCAAGCAGCATGCCCAAGATAGTGACAGCTGGAAATCAAGCCTAGATTGGTTGCAAAGTCTGCGTCTCCCTCCTCATTTAGTCACCAGATTTTGTTGATTCTGTCTTCAGAACATCTCTCAAATCTACCCACTTCTGTCTGACTCCCCAGCTACTACTCTAGGAAGTCAGTATTATTTGTCTTAGACTAATGGAAGGATGTTAACTGGTCATTTGCCCTTGGACTTTCTCCTTGAGATAAATTTTCTCCCTTATGGCCTAATTGTTTTTTCTAAAGCTCAGATCTGATCTTGCTACTCCCCCGCTAAAAATTCTTTAATGGTTTTCTGTTGCCTATATATATCAAACTTGGTAGTTATTTATTCATTCCATAAATAGCTGTTAAGTTCCTACTATAAGTCAGGTACTGCTCTGGGCACTGAGAATATATGTGAACAAAAGTTCTAGTATATAGACTATATGCCGTACTAGGAGAGAAGGGCTATGGATAAAAGCAGCTTAATAAGAGAAGGGAAGGGAAATTTAGATGGGTGGGGTAGTAATTTTAAATAGCATGAACTACATTTATAGTTTCAGCCACATTTCTGGGCTTCCCATGCTTTCCAGTCATTTTGCTGTAGGGTTTTTACCCAGGCTTTTTCTTCTGCCCCTGCTTTTCCCTCCTGATCCCCCTCTGGTGTGGATTACCCTTTATTGCAGCGGTCACCAACCTTTCGGACCTCATGGACCACTAGTTGGCAATCACTGCTTTACTGTGTAATCTCAGCACCTGGTACTCCCTGTCTCCTCTGCTAGATAGTAAGGTCCCTGAGAGCAAACTGTTAACTAGGTTCATTGTTTACCTAGTGCAGTGTCTGACACAAAGCAAGCATTCAAGTGTTTGTTGAAGGAACGATTGTTCATTTTACCTTTTCAGATATGTGCATTGTACTGTAGGGACACAAAGTTAGTGTTCAGCTCTCAGGAGAGGTTGAGGGATGGTATCCCTGGTAAAGGCACATTTGAACCCTTGAAGGGTTAGTAGGGATTTTTCAGCACTCAGGAGCAAAGGATTCCAAAAAGGAACCACATCTGCAAAAAAACACTGAGGCACAAAATATGATTCAGGGACTTTCAGATTTCAATCTAGTTGGAGTATTTCCTATTTCCTGATGGAGTTAAGAAAGAAAGAGAGAATCTTCCAGGGACAAAAAGGGCCTTAGGAATAAGGTAACTTGAGCCAAGACCTGAAGGTGATGAGAGCAGGCTTTGTGAATATGGAGGTAGAGGGAACCACAGGTGCTGAAACAGAGAGAATGTGGCCTAGTTGAGTAACAGAAAAAAAAAAGAAAAGAAAAAAAAAGAATCAAGTGACTGGAATGATAGGAGTTTAGCAAGACTGCCCAAACTGTGTAGAATCTGTAGACTATTGCAAAGGCTTTGACTTTTAATCTGAGTAAGATGCGGTTTTGAGCAGAGAAGTGACATCATCTGACGTACATTTTTAAAGTCTAGTCTGTGAGAACAGACTGTGTTGAGAATAGACTGTATGGGAGCAAGGCAGAAGCTAGTAGATCAGTTTGGATGTGGTATTGATGCAGGGAGAGATCATGGTGGTCTGGACCAGAATGGTTGCAGTGGAAGTGGTGAGAAGTGAAAGGATTTGGGATAAAATCATAGCCTTGAAATTTGGGAACATTACTTTACCACCCTTCACCCTAGAAAATTCATTAGTAAAGAAATATTATAAAGTTCTTTCTTAGGGCAGTTCTAGGTTAAAGGAGAAAATATGGCATATAGAGAAAAATATAAATGGAAGAAAGTGACCAACCAGATCTGAAATATCATGGCTGACATGTACTCATAAGGAACTGTTTGACATTGAAATTGGGACTCAAAAGAACTATTGACCCAGAAAGGAACTCACTACAGACTGATTCATTTGCTTCTCAGCATAACCATTATGGCTTGTCTCAGTTTTGATTCTTATAAGGGTATTTCTTATATCACATAATCTAACGCATGTAGGGGAAATAATGAACAACATAAATTGATGAACAGAAACAGACCCAGTGACAGAGAAGCAGCTATCAGACTGTCAAACCTCAGAGGGAAGGTTGGGGAGGGTGGTGGGGGTAAGGGAGAGAGATCAACCAAAGGACTTGTATGCATACATATAAGCCTAACCAGAGGTCATGGACAACAGAGGTGGGGGGCATAACTGGGGAGGGTTTGGGGATGGGAATGGGGGGATAAGGGCAGTTATGTGATAACCATAATAAAGAAATTTTAAAAAATAAATGGAAGAAAGTGATTTTGGATATTGCAAACACTAAATTGAATCGTCAGTTATAACTGCATTTCAGAAATACAAATTGTTCTATACAGAAACTATTCAATATCTTGTAAAATGAATTTAACATAAAACAAAACTCCTAGCAATATGGGAAGCATAAATGGGGTTTGGGGAGAGGTATAGTATGGTAATATATCCCATAGTGTATAATAGGAAAATGTGAGCTAAGAATTTCATTCTAATGTACTCTTGTTCATTTATTTTCTTAAGTTTAAATATTTCCCATTCCTATGCATATGTATCTTTGCATGGTATTTTGAGAATAAAAATTGTAAGAAGAATTGTTCAATAGTATCTCAGAATGTTTTTAAATGTATTTAGGTGGTCCTGTGCCAAGAGACATTTATCAGAGAATTAAAAAACTTGAGGATAAAATCCTTGAATTGGAAGGCATCTCTCCTGAGTATTTTCAATCTGTAGTAAGTATAAGTATCTTTTAAAAATAACTAAATGTTATTTTATTCTAGGATTCTTTATTATATAACAATTTACTCATTGATGTCCTATATGTGAGATAACTTAATAATGCAGAGATGAATAGAACATAGTTCTATGTAAGAGATTACCTACATCTTTAAAAAAGGTTATTCCAATTACTGTACTATAGATTCATAATTTTTTAAAGGGGTGCTTTTGTTGTACTTTACCCAGTTTCTCAAATTTAAGCCATTTTCATGGTGTGATAAGTGAGCCTGGATAATAGTCCATCCTGTCACTCTGAATTTGCTGTCTTATAAAACAAAAGCTTCTTTTGGCACCTTGCTCTGTCAGTTATCCCCTCTGTCCCTTTAATCCTTCACTCTTTATAGACTCCTTCCCTCAGCTCATATGTGTTTACATTTCTACCCCATACTAAGCACACATGCACCTCGATCTGCCACCCTGCCTTTTTCTTTATGTTAGCACTGGAATTTTTGAAAGACTAGTCTATATTGTCTAATTCTTCATTTCAAGCATTTATTCATTCACTCATTCATTCTTATCTCTTTTCCAAAGAAAATATGAAATAATGTTGTGTTGATAAATATCTTACTGTCACATCATCATGTTTCAGACAAATGGTCCTGAGCTCATTGTATTTTCCTCCATCTTCAGGGGTGATTATCCATCACCTGCCCTTTTTTGTGGGCTGGATGTTTTGTGTATGGTTTTTTAAAGTATTAGATAAAACCAAAATGTAAAAGTGAACAAAATTGCTAAGGTTACTAAATTTTTAGTAATATTTTTCTAAAACTTTCTGAAAATTTATATAAAATAACTCATATTTTTAGAGCATAAGTCACTGGTGAAATTATATTAAAATTGTTTTAGGTATGGCATCAAACTTCCCAAAGTCTTAAATTGGGTATTAGAGTGAGAAACAGAAAAGAATTTTTTCCAGATAAAGAGAAAAGCAAGCTACACAATAAAAATGAGCAGTGAATCCTAAGATTAAATATATATAGAGTGAGTTTTAGTGATTTACTTCCTTCAGTGCAAAATGAGGTTTATTAAAGTACTAAAGTCTAAAGCAATGATTAAATTATACAACATCAGTCAAGTACTTGTCACCTACTTAGCACATGGTAAAACCTCAGTGAATATTACCAGTTATTTTGTTTCAGAAACTATCTATGAAGTAGCTGTATAAATGTGGATAACTCACACAATTCCTTTAGCCTTCACTTGTCCAATTTAAAATTTGTTGGTTGTACTACATAATTACAAAGTTCTTTACACTTTTAGAATTTCTTTTTAATGTATCTTTCTAGGAAACGTCATAGAGACTTTATGCCTTTTCCTATAACAATCTACCATAAGTTTTCCCATTCTAATTGCCTTCATTATGTAATCTCTAGGCAGGTAATTCTCCCAGTTCAGTTTCTTGTTAATATAATTCTTGTAAATAATAGACCTGATCTTAGAAGAGAGTGTTATTGTGTTAGATGTCTTGGTGAGAACTTGCCCCATCATTTGCTCTTCTCTCTGATTTTGATTCTGTTATATAACTTGGTTAACAAAAGAACAAGTCCATCAAATAGTAATCTTGTTTTGGGTATCTAATATACACAGGGTAGAATGTTCAGGGTATTTGGTTAAAGAGGTGAAAGTAGTTGGATTATAGAGGGCCTTAAATGCTGTGCCCAGAAGTTTAAAGTATCTAAAGTTTAAATGCTGTTGAACACAAAAATGACTTGCTCAAGTACTATTTAGAAGATTTTTCTAATATCGTCCTGGGAGGTAAATGAAAAAGGAGACTAAGAATAAGACAATATTAGGTGTGAAGTGAGATCCTGCATTATGGACATGAGAATGAGAATAGGAAAGATTACACAGAAGACAATATAAAAGAGAAGTTGACAAATTTTGATAATATGTCAAGAGACAGACTAAGAGTGAATCCAGTTTCTGGTTGGAAAAAATTATACTACCATTAATAGAAATAAGAAAATCTGAAGGGGAGCATATTTCGGGGGGAAATGTGAATTTAAAGTCATAACAGATAAGAATAGAAATATAAGCTTAGACTTGCCACAGCTGGAAAAGCCTGTGTGGAGGAGGTAGTTAAAACACAGAATGGGTAAGAACACTGAGAATGTCAGAGGCCTGACGTCTGAAACTTGGTGACTACCTAACTTCAGGGCAAGAAGCATTATAAAAGTAATGTGATTAAAACTAGTGCTTTTAAAGAAGATTCCCCCAATCTACTAAACAATACATATTTGATTAGAAGGATCACTTCTGGATTACTGTTGGAAACTAGAGGCCTGATGCATGAAATTTGTGCTAGAGTAGGCCTTCCTTTTCCCACTTGCCAGCATCGGCTTCCCTCTGGCACCTGGGACCTGGGCTTCCCTCGGCCACCCACAGGCACCCGGGACCCGGGCTTCCCTCAAAGCTTCATCCCGGAAGGCCGTCCAGTCTAATTAGCATATTATGCTTTTATTATTATAGATGACACATTCAAATTAATAGTGAGCTACAAGGAAGCACAAAACACTGAAAGGTTTAAACATTCATCTATATACATAGGCTTTTTCCCCAAGGCCTATGTATATAGATGGCATAGGCCCCAAACCCAAAGGGAAAAAAAGATTTAATACTCACCCTTCCTTACCAGACAGAATGAATATGCCATCTCTGGGAGCCACGCTACTCTCTTGGAATAGAACTTGCTCTAGGAAAGTCCTCGCACATGAGAGTTGAACACAGAGAGCATAGCACGTAATTTGCCACTCTTACCATCCTCATTCTGGGATTACACAATGGCAATGCGTAATTTTACATGTCCCTCAAAAGTGTGCAGAAAGACTACAAAGGCAGCTCAGTCTTCTAGCTTCTAAAGTTAGAAAGTACAGGAAAGTTGGCTCATTAAATTTCTTAAGGATTAAACTTTTGATAGAAATTAAATTCTAAACTCTGAAAAGATTTTAATTGAAATGTGTTTAATCCAGATTCACATGTAATGAATTCTAAGCGCAGGGAAGCCTCTCACTATTGAAGAGAGATTTGTTATCATGGTAACATTGATGCATAGCACATGAAATGGGAAACATTATCAGGGAAAAAAGATATAAATTGCATTGGGTTTATAAAACAAAACTAGATCATGTAAAGTTCTGTTCATTTATGAAACAGACAAAACTCTTTTAAAAAGTCAACATATATATGCAGGAATTACCACAAAGATTAATATTTGTTGCCCCTTTAATGCAATAATTCTAAAGATCTTTAACCTTCACATTCAACATGGAAAGATATGAATGTGGTAATGTTTTTTTTAAAAATTTAAGGGCATCACTTAATAGACCATTTAAAGGTAATAATGTTTGTGATTATTTCCAAAGTATTGCTTACTGATTTTAAATTATGACCCCTGAAAACACTAAGTATAACATGCTTCACAAGTATATTTCTATGGCACTTTGTTCATTTGATAGCACTTACCACTTATAATTACATGTTTACACATCTGTTTTTCACACTGTTTTGAATCTCTGGAGGATGGGAATTGTCTTGTTCATCTTTAACACACAATGTAGTATGCATTGAATAAATGTGTGAATGAATGGATAGGCCTTGGCTGATAGAACTTTTGAAGGTGTGTAAACTTTGTTCCACAGCACTGACCAGGCGGAATCTTAATTCCATTTTGTAATGGGAACTTCCAGTTCTCAGGGAAGTGTCTCAGGGAAGTGTCGGGATAGGGGAGTGCTAAAGGCCAAGTCAATAATCCATGCGTGGTGGGCCTGAAGCATGAAGGGAACAACTGGATCCAGCTGGAAAATTAAATTGCAAGCATTTTGGAGGGCCTTGAAGGTCCCAGGAACTGGTTTGCAATTCCAGTGTCATTAAGGAAAAAACACACCTGTAATTTAGGTTCCTGTCTGGTGGCATTATAAAGTATGAGTTAGAGAAAGATTGGAGTCAAGGAAAGTATTTTAGGAAGCATCATTGTCCACACAAGGGAGAAATGAAGGTCTGAATTAGGGCAGTGGGAGTAGAAGGGAAGAAACATTTAAGATACTGCCCTGTAAAATCAGCAGTCCTTAACAACTGATTACACGTAAGGAAGGGTCAGAGAGGAGACTGACTTACCTCAGAGTTTCCTTAGAGCCTGGGTTCCCCAGACCTGTGTGTGTGTGTGTGTGTGTGTGTAAGTGTGTAAGTATAAGTGTAATCACCTCTTCATCAGGACATGGGCATTGTAAATGTAGTTATAAATTACCTGGTGAGGTGAAATAATAGGAGGACAGTGGCATTTTAAAAAATTACGTCTGTCTAGCTATTCAGTGTGCTCTCAAATACTTCTCTCAGGTACCAAACATTGTTTAAAATGTCCACCTTGTGCCTAAAAACAATACATTTTAAAGCTAGTCCAGTGTATTCACAATGTATGTGTTTCTAAGTGTTCTACTTGTCAAAATATTCTGCTCAGATCTAAGATAAGTTCCCAAAGACTACATTTTACATTTTAAGTGATTGAACCATTGATGTCCTCATTTTCCTCATTCTGATACTTTTCACTTCATGTCATAATAATAATCTGATTGCTCAATGACATGGAAATTAGCAATACTTTATAGATTAAGCTGTTCGGAAAACAAGGGGGAGTATATTTTCATCTGATGGGTGAAAAGCCACCTCTTGGGAGGGTAGGAGACTGAGCAGTGGCCAAGTTAAACATTAAGCCCTTGCCCGTAGGCCCCACAGAGGTACTAGCTCAGTTTGGCAAAGGAAGGAGCATGTTTATAGAAGCAGTTTTCCCCATATTTAATAATTCTAACACTTGAATGGTTTCCCACTTATAACACTGCTAAGAGGCACACCTCAGTGTTCTTTGAAACAGCTTTTGACACAAAGGATAGTGACTTTTCACCTTCCCTCTGATCTCAGTGGTCAGAAATGTTCATGAGTAAAATTTATCTCCTACATTGACAGTTTCTTTCTCAAATGTACTAATTAATATACTAATTTACCTTTTGAAAGCTGTGCTATTAGGTAAATCATGATTGTCAAAGAATTGGGCTCGTCTTGTCCAGTATGGTTTAGTGGATGCAGACTTAGTGGATCCAGTCAAGGGCACATGTCTGGCTTGCAGACATGATCCCCAGTGGGGGGTATGCAGCCAATCAATGATTCTCTCATCATTGATGTTTCTCTCTCCTTCTCTTTTTGCCTTCCTCTCTGAAATCAATAAATATTATATATATATATATATATATATATATATATATATATATATATATATATATATATATATGTATTTTTTTTTTTTTTTTTAGAGAATTGGGCTCGTCCCCTGTGAGCTCTGCTTAGTGATGGCTTTTTCCTCAGGCAGATGGCAAGATGACCAGGCGCAGTGGTATCCAGAAGTTAGGAAGTTGTTTTCAGAAGTTCTCCCCCTAATCCTCAGCAGGCCCTCCTTTCTCATTGGCCAGAATTAGGCCCATGCCCATGCCTGTCACAGGCAGGACCAGTGGGGTGGGATCTGCATTCCCCAGAGTCACACAGAGGAGGGGGTTGGTGCTCACACAGCCCTGTCCCCCTGTAGTCAGTGTGTGTGCGTGCTTCACCCCTTGGCCTGGCATTCCACATTCCCTGTCCTGTCTGCTGCTGCCTTTGATCAGTATCCTGGGGTGGAAATGTTAGAAAAAAGGAAACTAAGAACATCCTCAGAGCACCTCTTTCTAGACTCAGCCTCATTAGAAGCTGAGAATTAATGGGAAATTGTGTATAGCCAGGGACAAGCTTGTTGCTGTGATGTTACTACTATATACTTTGAATATCTTTGGAGGGTAACTTCCAAAACACAAGAAAGTGTATGTTGGTTGCAGATAATGCTTGGTGAGTTGTGGGCTTTGTTTCTGCCAGTACTGTATAATGGAAAATTGTTTGTTTCTTCAATAATCTATAAAGGGAAATTGTTTAGATTTTATAAATATTGGTTGTTTAAATTTTTTTTTTTTTTTTTTTTTTTTTTTTTTTTACCTTTAATCTAGAACTTTTCTGGCAAAAGAAGAAAAGTTCAACCACCTCAGGTAAGTTACTTCATTTTCATTTTAGCTTCTGAATAAGTTTGATTAATTTTATATCTTTCTTAAAAGTTTCTACTATGGTTGCTTTTTTAGGTCATACCTTGGAACTTAGAACTAAAAAAGGGCAGCATAAATTAATGTGTATGAATTAGAGAAGTAATTTTATTTCAAGGGCATAGGATAAGTCAGATGGGCCTAATAAACATAAAAGTCTGTACTCATCTATTAATGATAGAAGGATATATCAGTTACAAAATGCTGAAAAATAGTAAATGCTTAAGTACAGTGATTTAAATCTCACCCTTTCCCCTTTTGAAGAAGCCACTCATTAGCAGCATCTAAATCAAAGAAGAATGTTTGCCAGAGGCTGCCTTCAGCCCAGCCTTGTCCAGAGTACTTATATATGAACTAGAGGCCAGGTGCACAAAATTCATGCATGGAGGGGAGGTGTGTGGCCCTCAGCTCAGCCAGCACCCTCTTGCAATCTGGGACCCCTTGGTTAGGGTCCGTAGGCCTGGCTGGCGATCAGGGCCTGTTGGGGCTTTCCTTCCCCAGGCTGCTGGCAGCTGTCCTTGCCCCGGCCACTGCCACTGCCTGCCATCTGTGCGATGCTGGCCCGCCACTGGTCGCCTCCCTCTGCGGACAACAGGCGTGGGGTGTGATTGCTTGGCTGGCCTGGGCCTTCCTCTTTGGGGCAATAGATCGAAGAGGCCTTTTACCATATCGATGACCCTGCAGAGGGTGACCTGGGCATCCCTCTTTAGGGTGACCATGGGGCAATGGCGGCTCCCCCAACCAATCACATCACACCTTGGCTGGCCTGGTGCTAGTGTGTGTCATAGCATGGTTGTCCGAAAGGTCGTCCAGACAGTCGTTCTGCTGTTCTTTGGTTGTTTGGTTAATTTGCATATTATGCTTTTATTATTATATATTATTATAGATTAGTTTAATCATTACTTGTAAGATTTTGCTACCCTTTGATGATGGTGATATAAATTTAAAGTTGGGGAAAACTAAAAATTTGTTGGGCTGATTTATTTTTTAAGAGTAGCATGTTACTTATTTTTTTTATTGTACAATTTTGAGTAATTTTTGAGAGCATCCATTTTTTCCAGGAGAGGTAGTTGATTGCAGTTGATCCATAAAAAAAAAAAGAATTTCTAGGTATTTTAAGCACTTAAGCTAATCCTAAACTTTAATTTTTTCCTTACTGATTATTAATATAATCAGTAGTTTTTTAAAAAAAGTTTTTATAATCCTTTCAAAGTATAAAAGGTCCAGGAGAGCTTTCATTAGGAAAGATAAATAAAAAATAGAAAGAATTTTAAGCCTTGTTATTATATACCTTAAAATTTATGATAGAGTAAACATATATGGTTCAATTTTAAAATTATTCTTATAAGAGAAAAAGAGACATTTATCAGGCTTTTGGATATTTTAAATATTTATAGTTCATTTGTCACTTTATCTGCATTCAGATACTTCAGAGTCTTATTCAGCAATTTGTGTTCTTATTGTTTACAGCAGAACTATTCCCTGGCTGAGCTTGATGAGAAAATTAGTGCTCTCAAACAGGTCCTGCTTCGGAAATCAAGAGAAGCGGACTCCATGGCAACTCACCACCTCCCATGAAAAACTCGTCTCATCTTTGTCATTTTACTTTTTTATATACTTGTGTATTACTTACCCTGCAATTAATTAAATGGATACATATTTATCAATGTAGACATCCTTCTGAAGTCTAGTTTTATTTTCACACGAATCCAGCTTGCAGCAAGTAATCTTCCAATGAATTATGAAATAGTTAATGCATTGAACATAGCATTGTCAGAATTTATTTCCTTCTGTTTTAAAGGAGGTATTTTGGAAATTAAGAAACTTAATTTGAAAATACATCTTTGTGTGTATATGTCCCACAGAAAGATTTGTCTTGATATTTAAAAGCCGTATTTATATTTGTAACACTGATGTTAACCAATTTATTAGTTTAGGTCAGTACTTTGTATATAATAGGCATTCAATAAAAATTAATTGACCAAAATGAATTTTAAATGAATGCATACTTTTTTTTCAAATGTCAACTTTAATGTAAATAAACAGTAGATTCCACCTTTATTCCCTTATTGTTTGATTGTATGACCTTGCATAAGTTATTTGTCTCTCTTTGTGCCTTAATTTTCTTACCTGTGAAGTGGAAGTGGTAATAATAGAGCATTTGTCATGAAGAACAAACAGGTGGAATCATGCATGTACGACTTTTGAAACTGGCCCAAGGAAATACTCAGTAAATGTTAGCTGTTATTGTTTAAAACTACTTAAAACCAAGTCTGTCTTTGGTACGTTGTAAAATACTACAAATTATAGTCCTTGTTCCTTGAGAGCCTCTTTTTTTTACAGTACCTACCCCGGTTAATGTTAGGTGGTACATATAGTTCCATAGTTGCAAATTAAACCCTAAAAAGATGCAGCTACAATCAAGGAGCAGATGTTTAAATCAAGAATCGTTTGGTTGTAAGAATCAGAAGTCTACCTAAAGTAGTTTGTAAAAGGGGAGTTGTTAAAAAATACACATAGAAATCTGGAACTTAATTGTAGGAAGTACAGGTGAGTATTGTGGTGTCTGGAAAGTCACTAGCAGTTTATCTCTGTGTCTGTAGCTGCCTCTGGCTCTGTTTCTTTATCTAGGCCTGCCTGTCCTCTTCCCTCCTTGTTTTCTGCTCTCCCTTTGTTTCCCTCTTCCTCATTCTTTTTCTCTTGCACAATGATCATCTATTCATCTGCTTTATTCTCTACGAACTGGTTTCTCTGAAGGCCTCTTCCTTTCTGCTTCCCCACTCAGGTGACTGGTAGTCCTGTCTCCATAGCCTTGGCTTGCTCATGCCTTGCCCCTGCCATGGTGCACACGCTGAACCCAGGATTGCAGAATCTTGCAGCTGACCTCTGCTGATTACCTGTCTTTGACTCTCTTAGGGCTCTCAGTTGTGGACAGGATGGTGGGGCAGGAACCTCTAAGACTGCAGTGTGCACACCATCTTGCACAACCACTGTGGAAGCCTTGAAAATGGAGTCGCCTCGTAAAAATGGGGTTTCTGAATCATTCTGAAGAAGTGAATGTGCTCTAGCTCCATACCACTGACTATACTTCTCTTAGAGGAAACTCTACCAAGAGTTTTGCTTAAAGTGCTCCAGTATTTCAGATACAGCTACAAATGCTTGTCCCTCAGTCTCCATCTGGTCCTTATAATCACCATCCTGCCAGAATGACCCCCTTTGCGTTTTCTGGCACACTGTATTACCATCACATCAGTGAAGCAGGGAAACCATCAATAAAAACAATCCCTTAGAAAAACAGGCTGACTTAGAGGTGGGCAAGAAACCTAGAAAACAGGATGACATACAGGTCACTAGTCTGCCCCTACATGAATGCCGAGTCTGTTTCTTGACTCCCTTGGCAGTAGACAAAACCCTAAGTCATGTCGGACAGTCCTAGGATCTGGCCATCAGAAGGATTTTCCTTTTTGCAATTGTCCTGCAGGCCTGCTCCTCTAAAGGACATTACAGTCCTCTTCTCTACACTTCAGTGAATTTTGTCTGGTGCCAGCATCCTTTCCCCACTTGAGTCAGAGCCGCCAGAGAGATGGTACAGGTCCTGTTAACCAGTAAGGTTCTGGTGATGGCTACTTCAGTTAGTGGCTTTCAGTCATTGTCTTTCTTGAGTGCATCATTGACTGAAAGGCATACCAGGAATTTCAGTGGGAGTAAGGTTACTCCCTTAATCACCAGGCTACCTAATGACCGCCCCTTCAGGATTTTTGTTACTCGGCCCTTCTTAGATCCATTGTTCTTAATGGTCCTGTCCTCGGGAGAATAAAGGAGAAAAAGTGACTGGAAAGAGGCTTGCAGGACAGGAAACACTTCCCTGTGGTCTCTCCCTAAAAAGTCCTACCCTCCACGGGTTACATTCCAATCTAGGAAGTGTTTTCCTAGGAGTTGGGGGTGGAGTAGCCTGGTGGGTAGTTAATAGGCATCAACATGTTTATCTTGTGGGAAAGAGCTGGGCTTCCTCCACTTCTAGCTACTGCTGGATACCTTCTTTTCAATTGCTAGTCTCCTGAGCCCTGAGCTTTTTCAAATTCACAAGTGTTACCTAGACTTGGTTTTCAACAATCTGAGCAGAAAAGGGTTTCTCTTGATGAAACATAAATATGTGATTTCCTATTTTTCCCTATCTGCTTTTAACCAGCCAGCCTGGTACAGAAAACCCTCTTTGTCACTGAATTTTAATTATCTCTAATACATTTCTACATTTCAATATTTGACAGAAGCTCTACCTTTCGTGACATGTGGTTTCTATTCTAAGAGATTTTAGACAATTTTTAATTAGTTATTTTGCCTTTTCTTACCTTCATGCTACCAGTTTTCCACAGAACGGGGAAATAAGGTTCTTCGGTGATAACTCAGATTTTTAGTAGGCGCTGTCACTCCTGTCGTTCCCGCATCCCTCTGCTTTAACTTCACAACTAGCTGTACATTTTCATCAGAGGCGGTTACTAGTTCATTCCTAGCTCAAAAAAACTAAAATTTTGTCCAATGGAACTGGATGGTATCTCAATGGATGATTTTCAGTTAAAGCCATGGGAAAAATAAGTTATTTCTATTTTAGGGTTTTCTTGTTTTCAAGAAACAGAAACCCAATTCTAACTTCAATTGAGTGGGTTTTGTTTAAAAAAAAAAAAAAAGTGGATAATTCAAACTGCAGGAGTTTCAGTCAGGTTTTGACACCTGCCCATCACTGGATCATGTTATCCCAATTGTATACTCTTCACTCCACTTTAGCTGGACTTCTTTGGAGATGTCTTCTTTCCTGCTTCTTTGCCATTAAGCTTTGCTCTAGAGTTTGGGCTCTGTGGTGCTGCTAGCTCTGACCTAGCTCTGGCTCCAGTGTCCCGTGTTTGTTTCTTATAATTCAAAATCTGGAAAATAAGGAATTTGTATTCTCAACATGGGCCAACTGTCCATCCCTGGACCAATTGTGGCTTGAGTGTTAGGATTTCCAAGAACACTTGTCCAGCCCTATGTGGAATGAGGGGCAATTCCAACAGAGAAAGCATGGAGTGAGATGCTGACCCTGTGAGCTAGACTGATGAACAGTTGGTCTTTATAAATTTATGATTCTTTAACCATAGACATACCAGGTCCATTGGAAAAATTTTTAGTTTTTTGAGCAGTTCTTATAAGAATTGATACTTACTGATTTTTAATCATTCCTAATATTGTCCAAAAGATAAAGTTTACTTTTTAAAAATAGAATAAAACTCATATTTTTCAATTCCTATCTAGATCCATTAGATCCTTATATAATTCTAAAATACATTATGGGATCTTAATAATACAATTTTTTCTACTTTTTTAAAAATATTTTTCTAGTTTTATCATCCCAGGAATAATTTAATTATCACTAATTAGTTATTCCCAAATGGAACAATGATAGAATCACCTAGAAGAGGAACATAATAGTAAAATAAATTGTCACTATTTGCATAATCCTTTAGTTTTCATATAGCATTGCTCAAAGTATTGCATCATCTTTCAAGAAGATTTAAATCTGGAGAGATAGCACCTGTAAGGCTTTCAATGAATACAGTTGAGAGTTTATAATTTTTCATTTTAGTCATAATGGCAAATAGAAGAAAATTAATAATTTTCACACTTATTAAAGGAATCACAAGGTAATGCAAAGAGACAACTGTACTTTGGATTTAATGATACTGATGAAATTGATCAGTAAAGCAAAATCTCAGACCATGACTTTAGATGCATATTTTAAATGAGTTTTCTCAAACTGAAGAAAAGATGAATGAACCATATATTTCTAAGGACAACAAGGATGTACCATAGTCTCATCCACTTATTCAACAGGAAGGGTTTCATCATGCAATATTTTACGAGAAGCCAGACCATCTAATTTTGCTAAATGGATTACATGGCAGTATTTTTTCACCTTTATTGGTGTTTATCCACCAAAATCTACTTAGTATTCGTAATTTCTAAATTGAAACATTCTGAAGACAGTTTTCTATACAAAGGTGATTAAAAGGAAACAAGTGTTGAAGAAATGAAAAAATAAAATGGACTGGTCATTCTAATTGACATTTATAAATCCAAAAATTAAAAGGTTTTTTAATCACTACCCTTCTTCAACAAATCATGTCATCAAAGTTTTTAAAAAGCATTGCATTTTGGTGATGCAAGTGCAAGAAGAAACAAGTAATGATAAACTAGAACCTAATAGAAATATATTTGAAATCTGGAGTCACTATTTACAAAATGAGTATGTACCAAATTCATGCATAATAGATGTTACATTCAACCAATATTGTCTAAAAAAAATCCTATATAATAAAAGCCTAGGTGGTGTTATGCGATATCATCACATATTAGATGGCCACCACAAGATGGGTGATCAGGCAGGCGGGGGAGGGATGTTGGGGGCAACCAGGCCTACAGGCAAGGGCAGTTGGGGATGACCAATTGGGCCAGCAGAGGAGGGCAGTTGGATATGACCAGGCCTGCAGGGCAGGGCAGAAGGGGACAATCAGGCTGTTATGGGAGGGCAGTTGGGGATGAACTGG